ACCCCCTATGGAAGACATCAGCTGTGAAAAAAAAATTCCATGGAAATTATTTTGACCATTACCAAAATTTTCCGGAATTCCAGCATTTAGAATCATAATACAACTTAAAAATCCTGGAAATTTTTTCATGATGCTGTCAATTTGTCTGGAAATTTGAGTTAAAGGTTAGAAGCAATACCTATGGAAGACATCAGTTTTATATTTTTTGTCTGGAATTTATCTGTTTCTGTCTAAATGTGCAAAAAAATCCTGGAATTTACTTAGTAATACATGTATATGCAGCCATAACCAAAAGAAGCGTATTTAAAAGTTAAGCGCAAATATATTCCTGACTAGAAACTACATTTTTGTATGTTTACCTGTGTATATATGTACACCACTATTCCAGGATCCAGCACTGAACATACTCCACCCTTTTCATATCATATTGTTACTTATCAAAAATGTATATCTGTCATAAAAGCATAAAAATGTATTTATGAACAAATAATAGACCTATATAGTACCGGTATATTAAACTGAAGAAAGTTACATTGCCATTTCCTCTAAACACATCAGAATTTCTTTTTAGGATAGTAATGTAGTGTTTCATTATTACATATATTTAATATTATATAGGTGAAAATGTCAAAATAATGGGATTAAAAGCACAAACAGCAAGTTAATAGCTACAGCTATAGCTGGTAAGAAATTGCATGGGAAAATTGATAGAGAGATAATTGATATGACCTCTATTGGATACATTTACAACTGTTGTTTTACCACATCAAAAGATTCTGACATCTGATTAGTTTCAGACACTTGTGATATAAACAGGCAAGTTAAAAACTTGACCTTCATCTAAATTTTCAGATTTTATCATATGTAATGAAGCTTGAAATAGTGACCATGGTGACCAGCTCATCCCTAATAAGCTACCATTCAAAACATAGTCATTGAAATTGGATTTCCTGTTTGAAAATGCAACCTGCTAAAGTTCACTTATGAATGCAATAATCCTTCCATAAAATTTCTAGACCTTGAAATCTTCAAAGACGAACATTTCGAAAATACTAGCGTTTTAGATATGAAATGCTATTAAAAAATACCGAAAAATTCCAATATCTTCATAAAAACTCAAACCAGCCCATTTGGAACTTTAAATCCTTTATTAAAGGCAAAGATATCCATATACATAGAAACACAAACCAGAAAAAAACTCTTTATTGAAAGACTATTTTATTAACTGAAATTGGTAAAACAAATTCTATCAAAAATCAAATTCCAAGACAGACATAAGAACAAAGTTGAAAATAGATGTAATGTATCATTCATTACATATTATCATCCTCAAGCAGTAAACTTCAAAAAGTATTCAGGAAATACTGGCAACTTATTAAAACAGATTCAACAATAGGTGCTAGATCTCATTAAAACCTATCCATAGGATTCAAAAGAAATAGAACATTGGTGAATTAGTGAAATGAGCTATAAAATAGTTTGAATGACCATCACAGTTCCTACAAAATATTTCGCTGTGCAGAACTAATTAATGACCATCATGTAAACCACACAAGTAAACTGATATTCTTATGACAAAATTGTTACCATGAAACACTTCATTCAACATTTATTGAAATAGGTTGAAATAGGTTGAAATAGTTGAAAATCAAAAAATCAAATTCAAATTCAAATTCAAATTTAAATTAACAAATTTTAAAATTGTAATAAATAAAAAAAAATGTTAATAAAATTTTTAAAAAAATGAAAAAAAAAAAAATGAAAAACAGAAGGGGTGGTCTCTGCTGAAAGTTTCCCTTTAATTAACACATTTCCTGAAAAACCCAAAACATTGCTACATAGCACAGTATCAATGAAAGGCCAGAGAAATGATTTGCACTAAAAATCATATGTGGATATTGAATCTATTTGAAAAAATTCTAATTTTTACTCTACATGTCAGGTATTTATAGAGTATGAAGAATCTTCTTTAAAAGTTTCCTGATATTGCTTAAAGGTTTGAGGAGGTTATTGATATTTTGTTAACTTCAACACTAGGCTGTATCTAAATGTTTATTGAACAAAAATAAGTCTAATCATCAGTAAAATACAGAAGATATAAAAAAAAAAAAAACATTTTTTCTAAAGTTGCTGTTTTTGTCGAGAAGAAACTTCTGTCCTTAATCTTGAAATTCTATAGTTATATTGATGTCTTAATACTTTAACCCAAGACTATATTTAAATGATAACTTCAATAATGACATTTTAATATCAGTAAACTATAAAAATTGAAACTAATATTTTAAAATTTTACTCTTGATCTTGAAGAAGCTATTTATATCGTTCCAAGGACTTTAGTGCCCAAGTGTCTAAGTATTCTAACTACTGTATCATTGGCTCATTGCATAGGCGGATCTAGGGATTGTGCCCCCTTTTGTGGAAAAAATTTGGTTGCTTATATAGGGAATCACTAGATACAGGTTCTATCTACAAAAGACTCAACAGTGGCGCTCAAATCAAAAAGTTGAATAAAAGGCCTAATTAAGTATGAAGTTGAAGAGCATTAGCCCAAAGTTTCAAAGAGGTTTCGCCAAATACAGCTACTGTAATCTATTCCTGGAATAAAAAAAATCCTTAGTATTTTGAAAAATTCAATTTTTTGTAAACAATGTTAGTGCAAAACAAACTTAGTCCATTATATCAATGAAATATTGAAAAATGAATAAAAATCTCTGGATTCTGTCTTTGTAAAGAAGAAGTGTCTGTCAGTTAAGCAGAAATCCATCAAGATTTAACAAAGCTTTTGATGTTTAAAAAAAACAGAAATTAACCAAAAATGAACTTAAATGTTGATGATACTAGAGCAAAGGATTGCTATGTCTAGCTTTGACGACTCTAGTCACAGGCTAGACAAATAGTAAATTGTAAAACAGGATGTATTAAGAATGTCAAGTTTTTTTTTGTGAAATGAATTTTTATCAACTTTTTAAATTTTCAAAACTCATTGGGGTTTTTATACATCATTGTTAAGAAAATACATTTTCAGATTATGCAATTGGTAGGAGAACATTGCATTCAATATCTTTAAAGTTTCATTCCAGTACACAACAAAAATATATTTGATTATAGGTTAATTCTTAAAATATCAGTCATTTCTTATTCATATCCATTTTACTTATCTTAGTTATAACTTATATACTTTCATATGAAAATAAAATACTAACCACAAATACTGAACTATTGCCTTGTATTAAGACTATTAATTTAAAAAAAGGGGGGATCTTCTGTATGTAAATTCAAAAGTCAGTAGCTATATAGACAGTTTGCCACTGATTCTGATAACAATCTATTTATGTGTAACAGTATTTTGCAATCCATAGTAGAGTCATAGTACACAGCTGGTCATTTCTGGTCAGTCTTCTACAATATTGTGGTAATAAGACAATTTCCTGCTGTGAAGACAAACAAGTGTGTTTGAATAAATGATGTATCAATTGTCTATTAATTGGTAAATGTTCTGCCTATTTAGTTGAAGTGACTGAAAATCTGGCATTTGTTAATAATGTTATAGGACAAATCCTAAATTTCATCATAAAATTTATGATATCAAATTGCACAATTTATTGGCGTAAATTGATCCATATATATGAAAAGGGTGAAAAATACAGATTTTAGTATATATAACTACGTTGAAATTATCATCTTCTTGATTACATGACAAGTGTCTGAAACAAATCATATGTTAGGATTTTATTTGGTGATGTGTTAACAAAGGTCATTAAGGCATCAAATATTTATTAAACCAAATTTTCTCTGTTTTTATCTTTCCATGTGATATAATTTTCCACTAGTATTAGTAGTCATAGATGCTATTAATCCAATCATTTTGACATTTGCACCGGATTAAGATTCAACAGTTGTGGATACATGAAACAATTCAAGATAAAAATTATAGGTTGCAATTCTGTAAATATAGACAATGCAATTTCCCATAGGAACTACCTTTACAGCTAAAACTGTGCCTCTTTTACTATGAAGTTTCGTAAAAATTATATCCTAAAATGGAAAGTTGTTGATATGTACTACTATTTTATTCAAAGGTCAAAACAAAGGGCTGTGCAGCATACTTTCAACATTTACATGCCCCAAACTTCTAAGAGTCTAAACTAGTTTAAGTACTAGTAATACCCTCCCCCCCCCCCCCCCCCCCGAATCATATCTGGGAACCAGTACATAAACAAAACAAAATTATATGGAAATTACTCTACCCTTTGGAAAATTCATGGAATTTCTTGTGCACTTACAGACAAAAAGTTTGGAAATTTTTTGTCCAGATTGGAAATTTGTCTGGAATTTTAGAAAAAAATCGAGAAAAAAAATCTGGAATTCCAATGTCTTCCATAGGAGGGGGATGGATTATTTCTGGAATAGCCCAATCTAGTAAATAATATTGATGATGTTTCATGTTGATCACTGTCATATTTATGATTTAGCTTCAGAATGAAAACAAAAATATATGCTTTAATAATGGTTTTCAATAATTTTTAAGAAGGACGTGATTCACCAACGATCAAAACAGGGAGATCTATATGTCAATCATTGTGGTTAATCAAAACATGCCGCCTCAGCTTCTTCAAAGTAAACTTCCGGTGAAAATCAGGGTTACCTCGTCCCTACACTCGGCTACAGATTTGTCTTGTTCAAACTATTTTACACAACCAATGTAGTTTTAATGAAACAAATGGGAATAAAGAAATATGTTGATATATATAAACGCGTTTTTGTAGAGATAAACCAAAGAATAGTTAAGTGACACAAAGTCGAAAATGAGTCCGGACAGAACGAATGCTGTGGTACGGTTAAATACCAAATGCTCTGTTGATTGTTGAAATTCGAAAGTCTCTGATACAAAAAGTTTTATATGCATTATAAATTATTTTATTTCACGATGAAGTGGTTGTTACCTTTCACGACTTACACCAATTATACGCAATTTCAATATTTCTATATAAAAAAATGAACTTAGATTTTGGGTTATAGGATACAACCTACAGCTCAAAGATGGCCGATGAACAAGAACAGGTGCGTTTGGACGACAGATAAATTTGAGAATAATGTGTTTTCAAAATTTTACTTTTTGTTATACATTACATATTTCAAGTAAACCAGTCCCATATTTTAAATTTCATTTAAGTAACAGTTTACTTAGTTTCTAGATGTCATTTCAAAAGATCTTGAGATATTTAAATGGTAAGCTCAACTGAAATTGATAGAATTGGTGACAACTCGCCCCAAATCTAATCGCCCTCTATTTTATATTAACCGTCCCACATTCTACCAACTTGACACACTTTCTACTAACTCGTCCCATTAAAAGGACAGAAGCTTTATCTCGCTGAATAAACACCTGCCAACTCACAATCATCAAAAATTTGATAAATAACTCGCCATATCATGAGAAAAGCAAGGAGTTTCATCCCATTTGATAAAGAAGACCAGTGCCAACTCGCCTCAATAATCATGATAATGAAAAAGAATTTACTCTGCTGATTTAAAGACCCTTCAAACTGCCCCACTAATTAAATGGAGTTTAATCTGACTGAATAAAAACCTGCAGACTCTCCCCACTAATGAAAAGGAGTTTACACAATTACCCCAACTTTCAACAAGTTAGGGACAACCCACCAAATGGGGAATAGTTCCTCAAATGACAAAATATTCCTCAGATTAGAGATACCTTTCTAGTGTTTAAAAAAACTATTTTAAAAGTACAATGTACTCAATTTATACATTTTTTACTTGAAATGGCACATATTCATGATATTTATGAAAAATGCAGCAAATTTTCTTAAAGATGAATAGCACTAGAAGTTCATTACTAGACGAAGTGTGCAAGCTGTACTATATAGTAAGGCGATCACGATGTCCCCATTATCAGTGGAAAGCCCCATAGGTGGTCTTCCCAAATCTCGTTTTATAACTATGGAATCATGAGTACAAATATTATCATCAAACAGATAGCTGTTAATTAGTCTCCTTGAGTGTTTCATTAATTATCAGTTTGTTGTAAATGAAGTGAGCCGATTTAGTGTGGTAGTTTCTTATTGCCAGTTATTTAACTTCATTTTAATTCAACATTTAGAAAATGATATAAAATTTTATAAACGAATACATTGGTACCATTTTTCATCGCGCAAAGGTAAATGAAAACTATAAAATCTGCCGTGTCGGACTAAAAATGTATCGTCTATTTCAAAGATAATTATAGTTTTTTTTGTCAAAATATAGTCATAATTGCCTCTTTTTTTAAATAGAACGTTGTGTTGACGAATTGTGTCTCGGTTACTTACAGCACCAAGGAAGCTATATATACGGTAACGAACAAGCAAAAGACGTGGTTTTTTCTTCGCTTTTACCGAAATACATTTGTCAAAAATATCCAACCATTTGTTGCTTCAGATGACTTCGAAACAATTTCGAATTGCAAAAGTCTCTTGTTTTTTAGCCATTTTAAATTAAGAGACATACTCTTCTCCTGTCTGTCCGTCATTACGTTGGCCATCATAAGATGTATATGTGATTCAGTGTTGCAACGTGTAATAGTTCTTTTTTTGTTTTATACTCACAAGACTGAAGACATCTGTAGATCATGCGGATTAAAGTTTTGATTTATTGTGTGTTGCTAGCTTTACGTTCAGTTGCAAATATATCATGCATATTTCACCAAAGAGTTGTCGCAAGTGTTATATTTAACATCAGTCTAAGATCGTAACATTCATCCTGAATACGCGAGGTACTGGATTTAAAGTCCCTAATCCGACCTGACTCGGCTGCTATTAATATATACATCCCACACTTGTAAGAAAGGGTTTTACTGTTGGAACCGGACAATTCCAGGGATTACTTTATTTCTTTACGACCCAACTTAACCCTTGAGATTGATTTAGTATTTGAACAATTTAAACAACAGCTATAGGTTTTTGAAGTAAGACTTCGTCATATTTCTGTATGAAGTATACTTACATAAAGAATAAATATTTATTACTCATTTGTTTACAAAGATCGTGATCGCAACTTGTCCTACAATTTAAAAATTTATACGCCGAACGCACGTGTTGTGAACAGCATTTTTTACATGTATTTTAACGGATAAATGTAACAATATCTGACTGAAATGATAACCTTTGTTCGTCCACACCGTCATCCGAGGTGGTATTACCATCAAGATCTCAGTTACTCAGGATCGAAGATATTCCAGCAAAATTGAAGAAAGGGTATAAAATTAAATTTCCCCTCTTTTTTCAAAATTGAGGGTACAATTTGTTAATTTTGCTAAAAATGGTTATATCTGCAGAATTCCTGTGTAACTTTTAGAAAAACTTATTTCTTGAAATTTGTAATTAGTAACATATATTCTTAAAATAAATATAATAGAATGTTTATTCCTATTAAACTCATCCCTCATCCAGTGTAACTTGTACTGTATATGGATACACAATTTTCCGACCTAATTTTTCCTTGCCAACTTTTTAATGGCAATTTTTTCACAAATAACTCTAAAACCAAATGTTTATTGTATTTAGAAGTGAGCCTTTTTTTTTCATCTGACAATTTTTCTACGGTTATAATTGTAGTTTTTAAATTGATAAATTATACAAACATATTTATCATTTAATATTAAAACCATCATAATGACTCATGACACTGATATAATATGCTAGGATCTGCTATTCATCAAACATTATTTTCAACAGTGTGCTAATTAAGTTATAGGGTGTTTTGCATAAATTATCTCTACCCAGAATGCATCGCAAAAAATTTGGCCATTGATTTTTGTTACTATTAATAGCAATCTCGCTCAAATCCCATTTCAATCACAGTTGGAAGTACGGGGACAACGTGATCGCCTTACTATATAGAGGGTTGCACACTTTGTCTTGTAATGGACTTCTGATAGCACTAACCTTTTTTAACGCAAAGATAATGAAAGGCTATGAAAAATGCAGCAAATTGACAAATTTCAAAGCTGCTAATTTTTTTAAAACTCAAAATAGAAATATGTTTTTTTGGAGGATCTAGCGCTTCCATTTTTATAAATTTGTGCCATTTTGAATAAAAAGTCTCAGCTATGAAATTTTGTTATTACCACTATCAAATGAAATACTCAATTAAGGGATTGTCATTCATTTCGGCAATAACTCCCCATTATGAGGGTTGTCCAAAACATTTTCGAACTTACACCAAAAGCAACAGGCTGGGGTAGATCCTCATTTATTGGTATTATACTCGAACAGGCCGAGGTATCAATTTCAGTGCTAAAAAAATAAACCTTTGATTTCAAGATATTTGCTGTCATGGCGCAAACCTTCAGGTAAATGACAGCATTTCCCTCATAGACATCATGACTCAAATAATTATCATCTGGATAAACTATTACAGCCTTCAAAAAGTAGGACTTTTGGATGCAGTTATCTGTGTATTCAGTTCACATTTGAACTATGGTCTTAAAGGGGAAAATGTTGTATGGGTGTTTTGTGCCATGACTGTTATTTAGGCCTAGAAAAATATATATAATTTCCTGCCTCCCAACCGTTCCTGTCTCACACCCTCCAACCCTAATTTTACTTTTGTGCATTTGCAGAAAAGTCCTTGCAGAAAGTTTCACCTTTCTGTGTAAAGACCTTTTGATTTTGTTATGATTTAATATTTTTTATGCCCCTGCCGTAGCGGAGGGGGCATTAAGTTTTACCTGTGTCCGTCTGAACATCCCAAGTTGGTTTCCGTTCTCTAACTTTAGTTTGCCTCAACCAAATGTTATGAAACTTATACACAATGCTTATTACCACAAAATACAGATCAAGTTTGAATTTTGGTGGTGTCACTTTAACCGTTCTAGAGTTATGCCCCTTTACAAATGGACAAATTGCTGAATTTTTCATTCCGTTCTTTAACTTTAGTTTGCCTCAACCAAATGTTATGAAACTTATATACAATGCTTATTACAACAAAATACAAATCAAGTTTGAATTTTGGTGGTGTCACTTTAACCGTTCTAGAGTTATGCCCCTTTACAAATGGAAAAATTGCTGAATTTTTCGTTTCCGTTTTCTAACTTAAGTTAGCCTCAACCAAATGTTATGAAACTTATACACAATACTTATTACCACAAAACACAGATCAAGTACAAATTTGGGTAGCGTCACTTTTACCGTTTTTCAGTTATGTCCCTTTATAACTTTATATGATATGCAAGCGGGGGCATCATCTGTGTCCCATGGACACATTCCCCATTTATTTTCATCTTCCTCCACTTTTTTTTCTTGCGCTGTACATGGTTTCGGAAGATGTCCCTGACATATTTTAGATATTATATAGAACAGTTAGGCCAGACTTTTTTTTTTATCTGTTTAACGAGAAAATTTGTAAAAAATTAGGGTGGAGGGGACGAAATAAAAAAAAAAATAAAAGTGCAAAGTTGGTCCAGTTGACACTAAAAATAAAAATAAAATCATTATAAGTGATTTTTTTTTTTTTTTTTTTTTTTTAAGAATTTATCAAAATACAAGAATAATGAAATGAAAACAGACCAGTATATTAACCCTTCTATTAATATGAACATAAAAAATATCTTTTGATTCTGTATGTCCTCTAATTTAGATCCATGCATATACACCAGGCAAATATATCAACCTCCCTGCATATACACTATATATATGTATATTACCAATCAGGAACCTCTTAGTGTATGTTACATGTTTATACTGTATATACAATTCAATTAAAAAAACTACTCTGTTATCATGTTCATGAAATTAATTATTTTTCATTAAAAAGATATATTCATTTAAACGTTAAGCTTGGAAATAATATAATTATTTTATATTAGTGTAATAGACATGGTTGAGCAACATTAACTTATAAATTGAAACAATGCATTAAAAAGGAAATATTAATCAAAAATATCTAACCAAAAGTATGTGTGTGGAATGCGTAATTTTTCCTTTTGGGATCAATTTTTGTCTGTCAGCACATAGATATTATAGCCATAGATAAAGTACTGAACCCACATCAAAAGCAGATGA